TATATATGTATGTATATGTATATATACATATATGATTTTATTTTATTTCACAGAGACGTTTATTTATTTGTTTATTTATTTTTGAATGAAAGGSCACTCCATAAAAATAAAGGAGAAAAAAGAGTAATTTCACCTGTGAACCATGTGGGGGCGCTGTGAGGCCGCACTGCCTGTTTCACACACAAACGAGTCAGAAGGCGCTCATTTACAGCGGATGCGCAGTCTGGTTGTTTTATTTCTCCTGTAGGTTCAGGTTCGAAGAGGTTTTTTTTTTCGTGTTTTTCTTTCTGCTGAGTCAGTGTAAGCGTCTGAGCGGATACATGAGGCCTCAAAACACTTCTTTGTTTGTCAGAAACATCTCTGATGAGTCCAGGTGAGTCTTCGGAACCACGTCCACCGATAAGGCCGTGCTAACGGCCGTGTTAGCTTAGCGGCTAACGTTAGCCTCCTGTTTGAAGGAGCCGCGTGTTCAGGTTCAGAAAACCAGACGAGTTTAGTCTCTTAATGATCTTATCAGATTTAATTTGACTCTTTTTTTTACCCTGGTTATTATTTTTCACTGTTTTAAAATAATCCCAACACGATAACACAACTCATGTTTTGATTTTTTTATGGAAAATGTATGAAATTTAGCTTTTAACTGTTATTTATTGTTGTGTACCTGTGTTAACGGTACCTCTGATCCAAACCTGTTCWGTTAGGTGTAATTATGAGTAAACTAAAATATGAATGAGACTCCTAAAGAAAATAAATCAATGATTTAATATTTCATCCTGATGTTGGTGCTCACTACAACCTAAAAATGTAACTTTATAGAAGATGTGTTTGATATTTCAGGGTTTATTCATGGAGGATAAATCTATAAACTACATTACCCACAATCCTCTGTGTCCAAACCAGAAGTTCTTTCTAATGATTGTTTAGCATAAATCTCTTTACAAACTGAGACTGAAACTTATATCTGAAGTTGTTGAACATTAAAATCAGATAATTTATCCATCAGGTAAGGAAAGAAATGCTGTGATTTTGTTCAAATGTCCCTGTGTTTCAGTCGGCGGCAGCTCTTCCAGCTGTTGTTTGTAGTAAATAATGTGGGCAGAATAATCCATGATTGAGTCGAACTTGTATTTACGGTGTTCAGGCCTGAGGATTTGCGGCGTGAGTTTGGCCGCTATGGGCCGATAGTAGATGTCTACATCCCACTTGACTTCTATACACGTCAGCCAAGAGGATTTGCATACATTCAATATCCTTTCCAGTGTTTTAACTCTAACTTCTCGTTGTCGTTTCCTTTCAGCAGAGAAACATCTGCTTTTGTTTGTTTTTGTTTTGTTTTTTCTGTTAATTTGATTGAATATCTAACATCCATATTTTTCTGTTATTGCTTCAGAAATTGTAAAAGCGTCCAGTTGTGGAAGCGGCCACAAAGAGTTACAAAGACCCGTGTAGAGTAGCTGTAAAGACACAGACCTGCAGGATCAGAGGGAGGGATAAAGGTTGAAAAGAGAAAAGTAAAGCACGAAGAGGAAGAGAGTGCCGAGGCAAAGCTTGGAAATGGCGGCAAAGAGTGGGCAAAAGAAAAGAGGTTTAAGAGGAAAAAGCCAAGTCTCTCTGGGAGTCGGTTAAAGAGTGTAAAGATCAAGATGAAGTTCAAAGTCAAGCAAAGGTAACGAGTCTGAATTATTTTGTATCCTCCCAAGACAAATCCACAAATCTGACACCAAAACTCAGCTTTCCCTGTGACTTTAAATCTGCTGGGATTGATTCAGTTCATGTTTGTTTATCTCTTTATTGTCCTGATTCCTCAGAAGATTAAACGCTTGCTTCATCTTTTATCTCTACAGTAATTGTTGTGTCACCTGTGCTGTAGTGTTTCACCGGGCTAACCGGAGCTCACCGTGTTTTAAATCCAGTTAGTTGTGTTGTTTTGTGTGGCCTCGCTAACAAAGAGAACAAAAACGAACCCTTAACCACTCAGCATGTTTGAAGATGTCCGAGACGCAGAGGACGCCCTGCACAGCCTGGACAGGAAGTGGGTCTGCGGGCGCCAGATCGAGATCCAGTTCGCCCAGGGGGACCGAAAGAGTAGGTGTTGCAGCTCAGGTTGTGTTGACGTGAAAGCCCACCCGTGACACCCCCCTCTCTCGCTCCGACAGCGCCCAACCAGATGAAATCGAAGGAGCGGCACTCCCCGGGCCGCTCGTCTCGCTACGACGACTATTCCGACGGCTGGAGGAGGCGGTCCCGCAGCCGCAGCTACGACCGGTACCGGTCCCGCAGCCCGTCCTACGACCGGCGGCGCCGACGGTCCGAGAGCCCCAGAGAGTGAGTGTGACCCCTCGAGCAGCTCGTTACGTCAAACTGTGAGACGAGAGGGAAATAAATGTTTGGTGTGTGTAGATCTCGTGGACGGGTGTACGGAGGGAGGAGAAGCAGGAGCCGTGAGGACGACAGGTGAGGATGAGGATGATGATGAAGAGTCAGATTATTTATGTGAATAAACCATCTGAACGGTACCAAAACGAGCTAAAACTTGAATCATGCTTTAATTTGTTACATTAATACATATCACTGGACTGGACGTGGCTTCACATTGAGCTAATGCTAACGCTAACCGTTGAAATCAATGAGCAGAACGTAGCACGGTGCAAACAAACACTTTATAAACGTACAAATGGTACAAATACTTTGCTATAAACTACATAGATTGTTACATGTTTACAAGAGCTAAAAGGGTTATGTTTCACAGGTAAATATTACACATATTTAACCAAAATTAATTATTTTAATAGTAAAACCTGTATGCTAACATTAAAAACCTTCAATGTTCATGTTTAACTTTATTTAGAATCAATTTTATCTGTTGTCAAATATATTATTTACTGA